GCGCGTGTGCGCGTGTGTGCGTGTGTGTGTGTGTATGTATGTATGTATGTATGTATGTATGTATGTATGTATGTATGTATGTTTGCTTGTTTGCTTGTGTTTGTGTGTTTGTTTGCTTGCTTGCGTGTTTGTTTGTTTGTTTGTTTGTTCGTATGTGTATATATGTACAGAACTAAACAAATAAATGCATTCAATTATTCTTTCGTATTTTTGTTTATGCTTATATTTATATATTGTATATGTATCATACATAAATAAATAAATAAACATATTTATAGATATATATGACTGTGTATGTAGGTTATATTGCTTTTAAATCAAAATACATTCTGAACTATGCCGTACTGAAACTAGATATTCTATTCTCTTAAATGGTCTCTTATATTTTGCTATATATGTGTATATATATATATATACATAAACATACATACATACGTTTAATAATCTATTCTCAGGGTGCAGGGCTGTAGAGGCCAACATAGCAGCGGCAACACGATCATCTGGCGATTCCTAGGCCCCACTGGCGGCCGTCATGGCCTTCGGTTCTGCAGGTCCCTACAAACCGTGAGCATAAGCGACTAAGATGTGCAGTCAAACCTTGGATGAGGTCCCGTACAACCTGACAACATCTGGAACCCGCCGAAAGCTGACGCTGCAACGAGATCGAGGTCCTGGTGCCCAAAGATCTCCGGAGCAATCGACTTCGATGCGGCCTCATCAGTTAATGTGCGGTGCCCTGCATCCGAAATGATTTATGTAGGGTCGATAGTTACATCGAAGGGCTTTCAGCATGGGGAAAAGTGGCCTTGGAACCCGGAGATATTGGCATCAAAGTGGCTCGTGTGGTCATGAAATAAAACAAGTCATTTGCTGGCTCCAAGTCCCAAGTTTATGCCCCGAAGCAGGTCTGTGACTAAGGGCGCTTATGTCAAAACTCTTCGTGATTCGTGGTCTTCGCGGCGCGGCATAAGGGCTTTAAGGATGTTGGGTTCGAGTGTTTGTTTGGGGTTGGGTCATTTTATTGCCGAGCTGCCTCATAGAGGCTTCCACGCTTCTTCGCCTCTGCGATCTTGTTCTCCAACGCCCCCTTTCGCGGGATGTTCTACATCACGTGTCATTCTGGGAAACTGAAATAAATGACAACCAAACATTGAACACAGGGGCCCCTGGTTTGGAGGAACCTGCTTGGAGCCACCCGATTGCTCGACATCAGGCGTATCAACCAGATAAGCAGCTTGCATCTACCGAGGGAGTTACGTTTTTGGCATAAAATGCTATAAAACCTGGCACCGCGCACCCTACTAGCAGTGCCGTGACTATTTTGCAACCGAGCGAAAGCCTAGGACTTCGGGTGAGGCGCTAAGCCCGTTATTGATATTGCGGGGCATGGAAGTTGTGGCTGTGATGCGGGCAATGTGTGCATGGTCTTAGTTGTCGGGGTTGGCTCTTCGGATTTGGCCAGCTCATAAGCTCCAGGGCTATAGGTAAGCTAAATCCCTCTCTCCCACGGACTCGAGTCGATCATGCCCGTCTAAACAAACGCCGCAATCCGACATGGCGGAAATTATTGTTGCAGCTTCATTTCGGGTTCAGAGAGCATCAATTGCGGTTCGGGTTGGATAAGAGGTTGCGGCATCTAGTTTGGCAGTGCTCTGTCTGCAGGTGTCACCTTGAAATCGGTTTTGCACGATTCGGCCTTAGGCTTGAGCTATGGTCTACAACTGAAACCGAATGGGTTCGTCTTGGGACGAGGGCCCGAGAGTTTTTTCAGGCCCCAAATTGTATCGAAGGTCTCAGCTTGCACGCGCCTGGGACAGCCAAGCGGTGCTGAAAACAGAGAGCCCTTCATTAATGAGGAGCTCAAAAGACCCAGCCCGCCCACCTCATCAGCGACGGTCTCGCTGTAGCCACTCTTGTGCTTTTGGAAATGATGAGCTTCGATGAACCTGGGTTGTTTGCTACTGTTTGGTCTCAGCAAGAAGTCCTGTCCTGTAGGACCATGTCGTGCAAACGGCAAGCTGCCCGAGACAAAAGAAACGAAGGCAGGAAACGAACGGTTCAACATGCGTTGTACTTAGGACTTAGGTCCATCTCGTGTTTGGAACCTCGAAAAGCCTCTGGCATATCTCTCAGTATGTGTGAACAAAACTGGCAACAAGAAAGAAATGAACACCAAGTGCCACAACTTAACCACTGTCAGGAATTCCTTCGCATCGAAGGCCAGCTCGAGAGCAGATTGGTGGCACGGCCAATTCTTGAGCAAGACAGGTCACAAGCTTGTCGGTTTCAGAATCTTGCCATCGGCGGCGCTTCGCACAACCGAAGCCTCTGTGGTCAAAATGCGGCCGCGGAACATCTTTTGCGTGCTCTGCTGCCTCCCAACCCACAGCACAGCTCTCTCAAGCACCAGTTTCAAGCTTTCAGCGATGGCTTCGGCTGATCCAGTGCTCGGGGGGTCGCATTCAGGGTGTAGGGCTTTGTTCCCCAGCTACTCAGGCTCCTTCAAGCGTACAGCAGCTCTGTGCGGGGTTGCCCGGGATCGCTACACTACTATGGTGGATACCCTTTCATGTCTTCAGTCAAACAACACATGCAGGGCAGGTAGCCATGCAGCAGGACGGGGACCAGGAGCTGACTTCGCACAGAAGCCTCTTCAAGCAACACACCTTCGACTTTCGGACAAACATGTTGAGCCTTCCTGTCTTCTAAACCGCCTTGCCGAGAACCCCATAAAAGGGACGAGCCGAAGCTGGAAGAACATCCAACTCCTTCGAGAATTCATTCTCTGATTCCTTGGCTCAACAGATCTAGGCCTTTTGCAAGGACATTCCCGCCTCATCCTCATGGCATAGGGGAGATCTTGGGGAAAGAAGACACCCGTCAGAGTGATGGACTGGCCCGGCTTTACCTGGAACTTCAGGTTTTGGGGCTTTGGCTCTACCGGGAGATCTTGGCAAGGCAATACTGTTCGAGCCATGGCTTCCTCAGCGGCAACTCGTTTTCCAGTCATCTCTAACTGCGATCACGACAGTTTGAGGTTTAGCGCATTGGGTTTGGCCTGCTTGAAGGTTGAGCCTTTCCTGAGCAGCTCGGATACTTACGTCTGAATGTTCCTCTTCCCGCTGGAAGCCTGACTACCCAGATGCCAAGAGTGGTGTTCGAGAAACTCCGGCTCAAACTGCTACGCTTCGAAAAACTCACCGTCAACCGAAGACTCCCTTCAATACTAGTCGTCAATGCAGGGGGCCATGCGGGTAAGATCGCCTTCCGCCTGCACCTGGCTCAGTCATCTCATTGCTTCAGAGGCCAGGGTGTTTCAGGACCTATGAAGGTCTCCGCTTGCAGAAACTCTCTAGAACCAGAGGGCAGATCAAGGTTCTTGGGATCTGAACAATGGGAACACTTTGCGTGGCAAGGCCAAGCGGTTTCGTACAGATAGTCGTGAGGGGGGTGGGGTCACATGTGAGCACCAGAAGTAGAATCACAAAAGTGTTCTATTGTACTTCAATAACTACTGAGCTACTGGCTGTTTACACGATAGCCACTACACACATCACTATGTGCATGGCTGAAGTATTCGCTCGGTGTGGTGCTGAAGCGATGGGCTTCAACCGGCCCGGAAAAAAAGCAGAGCCCTTGGCATCCCAACATTTGAGACTTGTACTGCCGCGCTGCCCTTGCCCATTTTTGCAGTAAAGACGTACTGTTGCACCGGGGGGGGGTGACACCAGAATCGCTGATAGGCTAGCGCCCAGGGGCTTGAAGGTACTTCCACTGCCCGCAGAGGAGGAAACTGCACAGCAGCAGCAGCAAAACTTTTGCAGCAAGAAGTACTCACCAACAAACATGTCAAGATCAGCGTCAACAACATCATCACAAGCTCATGCATTACTTCCAGCTTTAAGTGTCAACACCAAGCACGAAAGCCATGATGTGACCGCAATCGTTGTCACAACCTCGAACCCCGACAGGTTCCTATGTTCTCAACCAGAGGCGCAGTCATTGTCCTCGGGATTCCGCCCGCCGGCACGTGCTCTGCAAGCTCTTGAACTTTCACCTTTGGGAACGTCATGATACTTCGGGCTTCGACCGCTCGAGGTACGAGCTTGGATCTTTGCGGGTGTTCAGAATTCAGGACTGGACTCGTTAAGATTAGGAATTGGGTGTGGGGAACACCTTCATGTCTAATCAGACCATAAGCCGTCAAGGTGAACTGAATGGCTGAGGCTGAACTCATCACGACAGGGATGGGGCAGTCATGAAAATCAAATCTTCCCGCGATGCCGAGCACAATTGAATCTCGCAGAGGCCAGCGAAATCTCAGGACCCCGTGGCCAGCTCGTCCGTCCACAAAAGCTTTGCAATTGTGGGGTAGCCGTTGCGACGGCCTATTTCTGCGGGTGTGGTGCCATCAGACGCAGCCTGGTTTTTGACAGCGCCGGCACTCACCAGCAAGCGAGCAATTTCCAGGTGGCCTTGACGACAAGCCACCCACAAAGGCGTAGCATGCAGAGGTCCACAAACTTTGCTTTTGTCGGCACCGCCTAGCAGCAGCATCTGTACAATTTCAGCTTGGCCTTCACGGGAGGCCAGCCAAATCGGAGTCATACCTTCTGGCCTGCCGACCTTGTCCTTGTCGGCTTTTGCCTCCAACAAGAGGCGCACTATGGCCCTATGACCCCCACGGGATGCCATGCCCAGAGATGTCGTATCAGATACAGCTTTGTCTTTGTCTGCACCTGCCTCTAATAACAACCGTGCCACCTCCAGGTGGCCGTTGTTGCATGCCATGTGTAAAGGTGTGGTGCCACCAAGCGCGGCCTTGTCTGGATCAGCACCAGCTTGCAAGAGCAGCTGGGCGATCTCTATGTGACCTTCGTGAGCGGCTACACCAAGAGGAGTTATGCGGCGAAGTACTGTTCCATTCGCCCTGACTGTCGCAGCCCTGTTCCGATCTGCTCCGGCCTCCAAGAGCAAGCCAACAACTTCTGCGAGATCATTTGCGCAGGCCCCTAGAAGCGGGGTTTTACCTTGGTGATCAAAGCCGTCCGGATCTTGAGGTTGCTGAAGAATCCGCTCAACACAGGCCACATCACCGTGGCAAGTCGCACGCCACAAATCTCTTGAGCCCTGACCGGGTTTTACGTAGCGAAAAGGGAGCAGTACGAGAAGGAGATCCAATGCCGAGTCAAGCAGGACCTCATCCTCCAAAGTCGCATTCTCGTGTAGGAGCCTCTGCCTAAATCGTGGGAACCCACAGAGGCCCTGTAAATGCCTCTTGAGATCCAGCACATTTGTCAAGCTTTCCACCGGAATTGTGGCGAGCTCTTGTCCAGAGACTAAACGAACACGAAGACTCCCTGCCATGGAGGACGCGGGCCGCTACATGGACTCGGAGGCCGGAGGGGCTCACGATTTGGGGCTTCCGAGATTTTGGACCAGATTTGGTTTACACGGTTCAGCTCAAAGAGTTGAAAATTAGCACACGCTGGAAACTTAGCACAATCCAGGCTTTGCCTACCTATTGACCTCCTGTGAGCACCCGCAAGCATCCAGCGTCTGCGCCACGAGAACTGGAGTCTGGAGGATGCCCTCATAATGTCCCGACGATCACCAAGATGAGCGGATGAAACGTGATGTGCTGATGCTGATGACGATGCAGCTGCTGCCTGGATGATTGTCGTGGTTGCGCTGCCAAGACACGAGTGTGTGACGTGGGAAGTGCCTTCGAGACTAAAGCCAGAGTCACCGGCTCTGCTTGCTGCAGTCACAAGGAAGATCTGGGAAGAATCGTGGGCTCTTCTTAAGGTGTCTCAGCTCCGTCGTGCCTGTGCCTCAAAGCTTTTAACTTGAGGCTTTTGGCTTTGAGTCTCGGGCTTGACCCACACGTCCTGGTATGGCAGATTATGGCAGGAGGTGCAAAGACTATATCATCATAAACTTTATGCTGCCAAATCCGGCCTCCTCGTGGCGGGTGAAGGCGCAGGAACGTACCATGCGGTGCAAGTTGCCGGACCTTGTGTTCCCCAATCCACAAGCCAAGAAACCCAAAAACCAACAACCGGCAATGAGTGCTTAGGCTTGCTCGTTAGCCTTATCTGGCAAAAGTTTTCGCACCGCTTACAATGTGAACATTAAATATAGACATGAAGGAGAAAGCTTGCAAACTCAAATGTTGAGTGACTGCTTGTTCTCCTTGCACTTTGTCGAAGGGCACTCCTGGAAAAGATCACGTTATCTAGGTGGGGTTGGGGTATTGCTTTTGGAAGTGGCGCCCGTAAAGGAACCCCAATAATTACTGCCACTACTGTAAGAATTTTCTAGGACTACTAGGGTTTAGGGGACCTTGGATCGGGAACCCAGAGAACAAATAGGATTGGACCTGCCCTGCCATGTTCTTCGGTTTCCTTGTGCGGGCCCCTACGCGTAACTCCAAACCCGAGCAACACCCCATGGACATCCCTTCTCCTTCGGAGGCGTGTAGGTGTCTGCCTCGACGGACTGGAAGACTTCACAGCCGCAAGTCTCACAATGGTAAGTGACGATCTGCACCTTGGGCTTCACCTGCGGGGTACGGGGAACGGATTTTGGCTTGAGGGCTTTCTTGTTGATGTAGGACCCAGGGAAGACGTTGCTCGGTACCCCCTAGACTCTAGACTCTGGACCCCATGCTTGAGCCATAAATAGTATATCCGAAGGACCCAACACCACAGCCTGAAGCGGTACATTCTATGGCGATCCATGGTCCATCATTGATTTCGAAGCAGTAAAGATAGCCGATTCTGAGGTTCCGAAGCCTCGGCTCGAGACCTTATTTACCCAAACCTCCACGCCCAAGCCCCTCAATTCTAAACCTCGTTGGAATAACCAAACAAAGCTGCAAATCCAGCCTGCTGCACGCTGACCACCAGGCAGTCCAGCTGCACCAACTGTCCCACTGAGTCGCCCCGGATCTGACGCCTCATGTCTTGGGCACTCGGGGCCTTCTTTCGGCTCTGCACCGTTGGGGGCGGGGCTTAGGACTTGGGTTTTCAGTGGACGAGCAAAAACACCAAGCCGGAGCCCCAGGCCGCGACGGAAAAACTTACCCCTACAGCAACACCAAACAGACCAAACAGCATACATCGTTCCAGCCTAGGCACATGCTCATGGAAGAGGCGGAGCTGCGCGGCTTGAAGCGAACACCCCATGGGTTCTTCAGCTTTGCAGGCACTCCCATGGCCTTGTCGAGGCCCCCAGCAGCGTCCTGGGGAACCCGGTGCCGCGACTCAAATCCCAGAAAGCTCCGACCGCAAGAAGCCTGTCCCCTAATGCGAGATCCCTTCGGGCTCCTTCGCATTCAAGCGCTCGCGCCAGTCTTGGACGGCGTTCCTGACCCTCGTGGCTGATGCCTCGTCAGTGTAGTTCTCGTCTCGGGCCGGCTGCTCGGTGTCGCAGATTTCGTAGAAGAACCCCCTGCTGGACGTCTTTATGTACCGTACACCAACAAAGAGGAACATGAACCAAGAAATACTGTATAGAGAACAGGTGCATATGTTCACGTTGTTTCTGGGGGACTATGTGTGTGTTGGTGTTCATATTCGTCCATGTTGCGACACAGCATGCTCGAACCAAGGAACTGAACGCTCGAAGACCGGGCCACATGAAAGGGATACCGAAATTGTAATTAAAAGCTGTGGGGACCCGCGGACGCGCCCAGAAACTGAAAGGAAGGCGGTCTGTGGCCTGTGAGGATTTCGGTTGGAAGGCTCTGCGACTCGACATTTTGCATATCCCAGGATCACTGTTCACGATCGTTGTTTCGGGATGTGAAGCCCTCGGTGACTGTCGTGGAGTCCGATGTCAGAAAGAGACGGCTTTTCGTGGATGGCTGATATGTGCCCTTTATCGCCCTCCACGGAAACGGTCAAGACTGTACCGGGCTTTACAACAACATTCAGATGAGAAACATCTGAGATGCTGGCTCGTGCTAATGCGAACCAATTGTTCAGATAACTAACCGTAGCATGCTTCAGAAGAAGCAGATACGCCGGGGTATGCAGGTCCATGGGTTGTCTGGCTATGGCATATAGCATGTTGCAGATCATGGTTTCGCTTGGGTTTGCCATGGTTGAGGTGCTGAAACGTTCCGGACTTCTCACGGCTGCAGAGCTCAACCTCAAACGCGCTTTAGCTTGAAGCATGGGCCACGTGACCCCGTCGTAGCCTCCAGTCCCCCAAACCAGCCCAAACCTGTTCACCCTCAACGTACTGCAAGTCGAAAGTCCAGACCCATGCGCACTGTAAGAGCTTCGAATTGAGGTAGTCGGGCTTATGCTTCCAAGTCAAAAAGCGCCGGCCATGTTTTCTCTCTCGCTCGAACGGCTTAGTGACCTGACCTGACTAGTATGCCTGCACAAATGCTATTGGCACCTTTGTCCTGTGCATCAGGTGTTGTTGCCGCATGCTTGAGCATACTTCAGCAGAAAGAGCTTTCGCAAGTGCTCACAACTCTAAACTCTACATGCACTGGAATGCTTATTCAGCACTCCTCCTTGGTTCCACCGCCAGGGCAGAAGCATCATCCATATTCTTGGCATTCCAAGTGCCTTTGAAACTGGCTGGGTTTATCAGTAAATCCGATTCCCAGCATTCTCCGCACAGCAACGGCACATGGTGACGGTATTCGTTCTGCTGGCATGTCGTAATCCCCAACAATGGGGAAAGACATGAAACTTGTCCCCTCCCGGTATTTGATAAAAGGGGCCAGCGTAAGTTCGAATCGCTGCTGGCGGTGGCGTTGGACATCTTGTAAACACGGGTTCATCTGTCTGGGTATCTGCATTCCTCGTTTCCTTGTGCTTCGGCTGTTTGTTGTGGTTAGATGCAGAAAACGTAGATGCTGAAGAGGAGGAAGCAGAGCTCGTCTGAAAAACCTCCTCTGGAAACCGTGGCATTGGCGAGCTCCCTTCTGGCATTGTTTCTTTGAACTTGTCTTGCAGTTCAATCAGTCGGACCTTTTGAAGACTCGTCATCCCGGAAGGCTCGATGGTAAGCAGTTTCTGCAATTCCTTCAGCTCATTCCGAGTTAGCCTTCCAGTACTTATTGACTGATCGGCACGCGCTCTAAGGGTTCTCACCGAAGCTTCCCTTGTCCGAAAACAGCTCTTTCCTCCCTCCCAAACTGCAATCACCGCGATCGATAGCACCAATACGGCCACATACAGATCCCAGGGAACCTCTGTCTTCAAATCCTCCTTTTGTCCTGCTGACCCACAAACCTGACACATCATCACCAATGTGGATAACCAAGAGGTAGGAACCTTCGCCGCCTTTGTACTTGCCGTAGAAGTAGAGCTCCTCTTGTCCTTGAGACCCCACATGGCAACCAGCTGTCTCAGCCTTTCCCTCGAAAAAGGTTTTGTACCAAGGTCCGCTCGTTGTCCTTCTCCAGGTTGGTGTTTGAGGTGAACAGCCTTATTCTGGATCATCTCCCTAAACCAATTCGATCTCAATCGTAGGTGTCGCGTTCTCCATGATCCACATGCTGAGCCCAGGAGCGTGACCGCCGCTGAATTGTCAATTAGCAGATTCATAGGAAGATCGCGCTCGGATAACTCATCCAGGAGGCCTTTCATTGCCCTTCCCAACACCATTCCTTCCACCGCCTCTAGCAACTCTGACTCTGCTGTTGACAGAGTCACCAGCTGCTGCCTTGCTGAGCGCCATGAAATGGCACAATCGTTGTAAAACACGGCACAACAACCATGGGATCGCCCGCCACTTGGGGCGAACGAACTGTCTGTATATACATCCAAGTGGAAAAGCTTGTTCTCGTTGGGCACAAAGCTGAGCCTGTAGTGGAGAGTCTCACATAGATAATCAAGCAACCTTTCTCCCACACGATTAACCAGCTCCGGGCACCTCATAATCCTCGAGGACATAATTGAAACTGCATGTTGAATATCTGGCCGTGTTCGGCCCATGAGCCAGAGTAGTTCTCCAACCCGTCGCTGCGCCTCTTTGATGATGCCCTCTTTGCCCGTGGTGTCCACCGGCTCAGCATCGATCAGAGCCCTTTCTTCCTCATCAGTGAGGATCATTGTTTCTCTTGGGCCTTGTAGCTTGGATCTCGACCCTTTGTGGCCATAAGTTCGTAAGAGCTCTCTCACGAATCCTTCCTGGGCCATTTCAACGCCTCCTTTCACCTTGTGTAGCTCAGTCCCAAGGAACTTTATAGGATGTCCTTCATCTAAAACGTCCAGCTCATCAACCTCCCACTTGGCTGAGAGCCACTCAAAGAAGGTCCACATAATGGCGTCTGGGGCATTGACCAAGAGGTCGTCAATATACACCATCAAATACCCCTGTGTTCCACCCAGGCCGTCTTCCCGAACAATGCGCCAAATCTGGTTGTCTGTGACCATCTGCTCCAGCTTCATGGCAACGACGCATCCATCCACAACTGAGTTCCATCTTGCCAAAGCTAATTGTTCATCACGATACTGGCTCCACATCGCTGGGCTTTCTCTCAGCCCGTAAATTGCTTGCTGTACCAGCCACATGTCACCGGGCTGTGCTAGCCCCCACTCGAATGCCACACTAGGTGGCTGAAGAGCAACTGGGCCTCCCAACCATTTTGCCAGAACAAATGCTTGACGTATGTCTGTAACCCCCAACCTCCATGAAGCTCTTGAGGAACTGAAAGCCAGGACAGAGCGGAGTGAGGCTGCATCCAAGCCGGCGGCGTACAGGTCAAACGTAGTTTCTCCTTCAGGTACATGGTTGCCGCATGCAACGAGTCTCGTCTTGCGACGATAACCAGTTCCTTTATCTGGCTTGATCGTATACACACCCTTGCACGGGACAATACGGCAATCAGGTGGTAGTAGATGTCGTTTGACAACCTTCAAGGCATTCTTGACCTCTGTGAGGTTCTTGAACTCCTTCACAGCCGAGGGCTTCCACAAGTCCAGGTTTTTTCTTACCTCTTGAGGATTGACGGTGTGAGTCACTTGTAGCTTCTGGCCCTGTGCCTCAAGATCACGAATAACTTGCTCAACATCTGGTGTGTACTGAACTTCGGCTTTCTTGATAATCTTCTTCAATCTTGCCTCCACCATAGTCCGTACATCAGCTGTTGCATCACTTTCTTTTTCCGGAAGAAGCAGGTGCTCGTCACCCCCAGGTAAAAAATCCTCATCAGTGATCTCCTCGAACACATGGGGCAGCTGCTCCTCCTGAACCGACATCATCTTGACTCGGACCGGAATATGAATGCCCCTTTCCAAAGGTAGAATCCGGCCCTTGAGCTCCTTTCCATTGGGAAGCTCCTTTGTAACACACTCCTCCTCCTGAACCCCATCATCTTGAATCCACAGGTCACCATCCTCAAAGCTCGTAAGCGGCACAATGATATTACTCGAAGTTTGATCGTTGTGCGAATCTCTGTGCAATCCAAGCTGTGAGTTCCGAGCGATACCCACCGCCGAAAAAGGTTTCCCTTCCGCAAACTGCTTCCCGAACTCCACCAAAAGCTTGCTCGCATAAGGAAACTTTTCCACATTTATCCGCGGTCCAGCTTTGCCTCCATGAACAAAGGCCCCGGTGAACCATGACTTCACCTCGGACTTATTCTTTATCCTTCGGTCTGTATCTCTGAGTCCTTCAAGCTTGTAGTAGATCTCGAGGATATCGTTGATGGTCACCTTGGACTGATCCAGCATCATCCTTGCGCGGAATTCAATCTCTTCCACGAGCTCATCTTTGGAAGGCGGAGACGCGTCTTCTTTGTCCTCACTTGGAACTCCTTCTGCAACAGCTGGTGGTAGTAGATCACGTAGTTCAGGGTTCTCCTTGACGTCGAACACATTGAACTTCACCCCTTTTGCTATCGCCAAACCTCCATCTTCTCGAGCTATCAGGTGGCCTCGATGGACATCCATAGAAGGTCCTTTGTACCATCCCTTTTTCCACCGTGTTCCTGCCGCCTCGTGCTTCTTCTCCTTTGTTCCTTTGTAGCTTTTGGCTCGAAACCATACCGCATTCCCAAAGGTAGTCACCGGAGGGTGGAACGAAGGACTGTCAGGAAAAGCCTTTCCCCACAAGGAAGCCGTAGCGTGCGAGGCTGCCATTGGCCAATCTCGAGGCGGAGAATCGGAAGCCCTAAGCAAGGACCTCATTCGGGACTTAATCCATTTTATTCCAAGTTCTGCTGTGGAGTTCCCAGAAGGGTCTCCCCCTGCGGTCTTCGTTTGCTTCAAACCAGCATCGGTGACCCAGTCTTTGAACGCCTTGGCCTTGAACTCTCGAGCTCGGTCACTGTGTAGGCCAGCAACGTGAAGCCCTGTTTGCCTCAACTGAACCACAATTTCTTTGGTAGCCTGCAAAACATGAGCGGTTGTCCTTCGTCGAAGAGGTCGACATAAATAAATGGTCGCTGCTTGCTGAGGCTTGGAAAGTTTCTCAGCTTCCTCCTCGATCTCATCTTGACCTTGAGGAGTCTCATCGGCATCATCTCCTCCTGATTCTTTGTCTCCTTCTTCCACGTCTGAGAGCTCTTCTTCTTGAAGTGCAAGTGGATCGTCGGGAGGATCATCTGGTTCATCTGGAACATATAGTTCGGCATTGTAGTCCGAAATTGCCTTGGAGCTCATATATTCCCTCGGACATCGGTAAGCCGCAATCATCAAATACTTGTAATCGTCATGATCCATATCCCGTCCCTTCTGTTTGAAAGGTCCGGCGAGGTCTATGGCGACTGTAAACATGCTTGGATGTGCACGCCGTCGGTGTTGGTAGCCAGTCGCCTGGGCATTGATGCAGACTGAACAGTCAGCTCTGTAAGGCTGGTGGTCGTTTAAAAGGTGTTTCCTCCACGACTCCTTCTGCTCCTTTGTCAACTTTGACAGCTTCACATCGAGCTCGGCAAGCTCCTCCTCATCCGCAAACACGCCATTGAGGGACTCGCAAGCAGCCTGGGCCACAATCTCCTTGAACTTCACCGACCAAGTTTTCATTTCCTTCACATCCATAAGTGTCGCTGGAAGGGCACCATCCACAAAGTCACACAATCCTTCAACCTGGCAAAGCCTTGGGTAATTGGTAGCCATCACCGTAGGTCTTTTTCCTCGATGCCCTATTGCTCCCATGTAGAAGGAAACCTGACTCATGCCGGTGAGTGCCCTGAAGGACTTCCACATTTGCGTACTCCACAAGGATATTGACTCAGAATCATCGCTGCGTAGTTCGTTTCCAGGTGAGGGCTGTTCCATGAGAAAACCAACATTACCCTTCCCAGACATCATCGCCACCAACCACATCATCATGCACTTAGCCGCTGCTGCTGTCTCATTGTTGAGCAACTGAAGCTTCAGAGGTGGTAGTCCATCATGTCCATATGGATGAGCTTTGGTCCTCATACTGGCTAAGTCCTGACCCATCTGCTCACTCATAGCTGTGGTCCACGTAGCGCTCGGGGGAGAAACCAATACATCCGCAATCTTCCCTTGCGCGGCGGCCCACAATAGCATCTGGTACACACCCGACTTGCGATGAATATCCCATAGCCTTGAGCTTGAAGGGTCCACATACAACACCACCTTGCCCTGCTTCGCCATTGCATTGAGCGGCTCCTCCGTATTCTCGGTTGCTGCCTGATTGAAAACAACCACCCACTGGTTTGAGGCCAAAAGCAACTTTCTCTTCCTCCTTGTCAGTGGGAGCTGCTTCAAGTAATTCAAGCCCTGGTGCTCCTCAAACCCCTCCGCAATCATCGCCTGCACGTCTTCCGGGAGAACCTTGGTGAACGGACACACCAGAATTGCCCTTAACAGAAGAGCCTGGGAACCGTTCTTCACGTACTCCTTGAGGATGTTGTCCCACGAACGAGTTTCTTCTTTTCGAAGCACCTCCAGCTTTGCTTTGAGGTCCTCTACCTGGTGAGTCAACTTCACCATGTGCTTATTCTCCAACTCCTTGATGAGGGCCAACGCATCCTTCGCCTTGATCTCTGGGCAGTTGTTCACCAGCTTCACCTTGAGGATACCCTTCGCTGGATGGCGAAGCTGGAAAGAACCCCTTCTCCACGATAGGGAACAGTCCAAGTCTTCAATGACCGCCCCAAGTGGGACGATAGGCTGTACTGCCTGTCGTCCATCGTTCTCGATTAAAACCGTCCCCTGGAGGTTCTGCCTCATTTCTCGCACGTCCTCACCTGCAAGCGTGACTTTCACCGAGCTTCCAGTTTCATATTCATTGCCTTCTGCAACCCTCATGGCGTGGGTTGCGCCGCTGTCTAACAAACCATCCATAGCATCATCTTCTGCCTCCACCATAGACAGCTTCATCGCTGCCTCAATCTCCTCCAGCTTCTGCTCAAATCCTTGCTCCACCACTGCAATCTTCTTGGCATTCGCAGCGGTCATCTGTTTGAGCATCTTCCCCACGTCCGAAAGCATCTCCTTAATGTCCGGGGTGTTGCCTTCTGGGGCAGCGCTCGACGAAGAGGTTCTCGCCGGTACCTGCTCCACCTGAGGTTTGTCATCAATGCGAACTTTGTAGTTGTCGCCTGTGTTCCCGACGACGGAGGTGTCCTCGGAGTCTGCGGGGTTGCCTTGGCATTCGGAGTGGTAGTAGAGGGGGTTGACGGATTCGGCTTCTGGTTCGGGCATTGCTTTGTAAGGTGTTTTCCTCCGCAAACCCAACATCGCTGTGCCTTCTCCTTCTCGTTGCCCTCCCACGTGTGTTGGAAGGGACATTTAGAGCCTCTTGCACATCCCTTGAACGTCTTCCCAAAGTATCGGCAGGGTGTTGTAGCCCTCTTTTCTTTGTCGCCTTCTTCACCACCTGAGGTATTCTGCGACGACGACCTGTTCGTAGGCAGTGGAGGCGGTGGCGGAGCCGGCGTAGCACCTTCAGGTTTCATAGGCTTTATTTTGGGTTCCGGCTTCGTTGAAGTATTCTGCATTGGGGTAGTAGATGAAGTCAAACCAACCGCTAGCGTCTCACATTCTGCTAGGAGGTGCCGGTAGTAGCCATCAACCGACTCCATTGTCGGTCTTGTGTCCACCATCAACGTCGACTTCACCAGGCTCGTTCGGAAGCTCGCCTCTGGGTACTGGTCCATCAGCTTCCGGACCATGGCCGTTAGGCCACGAGCAAGCAGAGCCGGGTCTGGGGCAGTGACGCCAAGTTCGCGGCAACGCCTTAGCCAACGTTCCCAGCTACGTAGAGCCTCGAGAACCCTCTGGGGATCTCCTTCTTGCGGTGGCTCTTGAAGATTTCGGAGAATCCTCATTTTTTCTTCCTCCCCAGCAGGTTGATACAACGTCATCAATCTATAAAGAATCGAAGTCGCGCTTCCAGTCAGCCTGCGTGCCACCATTTCACTTCGTACACCCTCCGCCAAGGCCAACATGAGCATGCTCGAAGCTCGAGAGTTAACCCTGCTCCACTTGCCAGACTCCAAAGCCTCATCTCGCGGTGGACTTATTCGCAACCTTTCCATCGGACTCGCCTGCGCCCATTGCACATAAGAGTGGGTTGCTGTGGACTTCACTCGCTCCCACCATAGCACAGAGCCATCCGACAAGTCACTCATGGGTGAGGTCAGCATTTTCCAGCCAATCCATAATGTCAACTGAGGCCGTTTCCACGCGCACCGCCGGCAACGGCGGCAGCGTTGTAGTGCCCGGTTTCACCGTCTCCGGACTCTGCTCTCCATCCCGCTCCTTCTCAGCCGCTGTCATCTGCTTCAACATAACTGCTTGCAGCTGCGCCATTCCTCCAGCCAACAGTGTCATAGGATCCGTTGTTGAACTTCCATTCTGTCCACCAAGCCACTGCTGAGGGGTCTTACCTTGACCCTGTTCTGCACCTTGTTGACCGTTATGTACATTTTCTGGTCCAGACCCACTCGTCGCTTGGCCAACACCTATATCATTGGACCCACTCGTCGCTTGGCCAACATCAAAATAAATACGACCACTTTGAGGTAGCTGAACATTCCCTCGAGGATCACTTGGAGCTTGAGATACTATTCCCGGATCTTCGTGGGGGACTGCCGATGACTGCGGATTCTGAAAGCCAACCTGCGGATTGCGGAAAAGACTATCTTCATGGTCCTGAGGCCTGCCATTGCCTGTTTGAGGATCAGTCCTGGGTACTCGCTGTACGTTGCCTTGGCGCTCGCCCCGGGGGCCATGTACACCAAGATGCTCACCTGGTGGTAAAACTGGACCACTCCCTGCAGGACCGCCGGATGCTTGAGGTAGGTCTTGAGGACCACTTTGAGGTAGCCTTAGAACATTCCCTTGAGGATCACTTGGTGCTTGAGGTAGGACTTGATGACCACTTTGAGGTAGCGTCTGAACATTCCCTTGAGGATCACTCGGAGCTTGCGGTACATTTAAGGGTCCACCTTGAGGTAGCATCTGAACATTCCCTTGAGGTTCACTTGAAGCTTGTATCCCAGACTGAAAGCCAACCTGGATAAGCCTCTCTCTCTCTCGCTTAAGCTCCGTAACTTCCCTCTGCAGCATAGCAACTTCGCTCTGGTGCCTCTGCATATACTCTTCCATCTGACGTTGTACTTCTGCTTGAAGCCTTGACGATCTATCGCTTTCTCCATCTGCTGAGGTAGGCCCATATATTTGCGGATGATTCCTCTGCGAGGTTCGCATCTGAGCCAGCTGTTCCTCTGTGAACAGAGCTTGAGATCCCCTCATCGTTGTCCACGATGCCGGCATAGCTGGCACCACGGCCCGAGGCTGAAGATCCTGAGGAGGAGAGATATTCATAGGGCTGGATTGGGGTTGCTGCTGCACATGTGGGAAACCCAAATTGTCAAGCATACGATCCATGTTGGTAGCACTTCTGGTAGCCGTCGTTCTAAGGAATTCAGTGATCCGGGCCATCCACCGGAAACCACTCTGGTCAGTTCTTTCATTTCGGCTTTCAGCCGTGTAAAACTCCTGCACTCGAACTGTTGATCCCGACGGAGGCGTAGCTGATATTGGCGCCGGAGACGAAGGCGGTGGAAAAAGCGTCGCACCCACTCGCGCACCCGAATCCGGTATCGTTTCGTACGCTGGTTCGACCATATCCGGTTCAGCCGCAGCTGGAATCGCTCTGCTCAAAAACTCTGCTGCCGTGGTCGTAGGTGCGGGATCATGAACATTAGGATTGTTCGTACTCTGAGGTGCTTCTTCAGGTAGAACTCCATTCTGCATCCCATGATGGGAGCAGCTTGCCCTGTCTTGTTCTGCAGTAGCGTCTTGGGCGTCCATAACCTGTAAGAGCTTCGAATTGAGGTAGTCGGGCTTATGCTTCCAAGTCAGAAAGCGCCGGCCATGTTTTCTCTCTCGCTCGAACGGCTTAGTGACCTGACCTGACTAGTATGCCTGCACAAATGCTATTGGCACCTTTGTCCTGTGCATCAGGTGTTGTTGCCGCATGCTTGAGCATACTTCAGCAGAAAGAGCTTTCGCAAGTGCTCACAACTCTAAACTCTACATGCACTGGAATGCTTATTCAGCAGCGCACCTATAATTACCCGACCCAGTGGCTGGTAGCGTGGCACATGGAGCTCGATAGCCCCCACGAGCTGTTCGATGGACTGAAGAAGCTGCGCGCGCCTGAAGGCAGTCTAGCTAGCTAGGGTTCATAAGCTTGAAGAACCCTATAAAGCCTGAGCCTTAAAGAGGTTCTGGGCTCCCGGATGGCTGGCTTGGGACTAGCTCCGCAGGCTTTGGGATTCATGCTTTGTGGGAGCAGTGTTTCGGGCTTTGGGGGTGCGACTCTGGTGTTCACGGTGCTGAGGCTGAAGTGGTCTAGTTGGGGGGGCGGGCTGCGGCTTCAGGGTTGTGGGTTCAAATGACTACTCAACTTCCAACTACATCTTTACATGTCAACGCCACAACTACATCTTTCAGTGGAAGTCCGACGGTGGAAGAGGGGAAAGCTTCACGTTTCTCAGCGTAAGGCTCGCACGAATCGCCCATGTCTGAATCTGGTGCCAGCGCCTCCTGTTCTGAATCTTTCGGTGTGAGGCGGCATACTGCAGCTTTGCTTCTTTGCGGGCCCAGTATCTGCAGCGTAAGTTTCATAATCGGGTTGGCCAAGACTTGGCGGTGAGACTGGAGATATGCCAAGCAGGGGAATGTTAGCGGCTAGCAGCCTGCACAGACCTAGCTGCACTCACGCAACAGATTGCGAAGTTTGAGGATTAAAGAGCATCCTAAGCCCAGGAAGCCACAAGGAAGCTGGGATCCTTCTTGCAGAACATCTCCACATCATCCAGCTCAATGGTGATCATGTCCACTTGGTTGTTCACTGCCTTCTGCAACAAAGCCATGTACCTGGGTAGTGTCGCAACATCTCGTGAAGTGTCATCGACAGTGGCATGGTCATGCGTGGTCTACCATGGTCACTACAGACTCCGACAGACGGGCCTACTGTTCAGATCATGCGCATGCCCACCAGGCATCATCAACAACAACAACAGCGCGCTCATCATCAGTACACTCCGCATCATCATCAGCACCACGACTAACATCAGCATCACCAAGAGTGCGCCATCTCCATGGCATCACCAACACCATCACCGTTGTCGACATCAGCATCACCAGCAAGACCACCACAGGTACCACCATCAAGAAACATTCCTCATGACCTGCAGAAAACACTGCTTGCAAGATATCAACAAAGTCTTCACAGCAGTAAGTAGATTACAACTAGCAAACTGCTTCATGGTGCAATTCACAGGCATACTCTGGCAACAGCAAAACCAATGCACATGGAATCGGAATAGCCAATTAGGGGCATTGAGCGGAAGGAGAAAATCGAGTTTTGGACTTATTATATATGGGAACCGGATAACAATTCAGGGAAACAGCAGCATGATAGCAACTCTATACTGTACTGTTACTGTCGAGCGTGCTGTTGCCCTGAAACCCGTGAAGCCCAGGAGCTTGAGCTTGCCGTACTTGCCGTCGTTGCACATCTCGCACTCGTAGGTTCGGATGAACTTCTTGATCAGATCCTTGCGGCACTGGCTCTATAGTAGGCTCAAACATGCAGGGACAGGGAACGGTCACGTGACACTTTGGGCGCCCGTGCCGTCGATGTGCCCATAATTTCTGTTGGCAATAAATCACTACAATCACTACAACGACTGACACGACGCGGCTCATACTACGACCACTACTAACTATCACTGCGGTTGCTACGACTACCACCATGACCACGACCGCGGCCACGATTACCACTACTTCCATTACTACCGCCACCGCTACCACTATGGCCACGATGACGACGACGACGACTGCTGCTGCTACTACTACTACTACTACTACTTCTACTGCTACTACTACTACTACTACTGCTACTACTACTACTACTACAACTACTAATACTAGTACAACTACTACTGCTGCTG